GAAGGGCTGGTCTGAGTATTTCAGAAACTGCTAATCTACTGGGATTTTCACGCACAACCATCTCTAGGGTTTACAGAGAATGGTCCGAAAAAGAAAAAACATCCAGTGAGCGGCAGTTCTGTGGGCGGAAATGCCTTGTTGATGCCAGAGGTCAGAGGAGAATGGCCAGACTGGTTCGAGCTGATAGAAGGGCAACAGTGACTGAAATAACCACTCGTTACAACCGAGGTATGCAGCAAAGCATTTGTGAAGCCACAACACGCACAACCTTGAGGCGGATGGGCTACAACAGCAGAAGACCCCACCGGGTACCACTCATCTCCACTACAAATAGGAAAAAGAGGCTACAATTTGCAAGAGCTCACCAAAATTGAACAGTTGAAGACTGGAAAAATGTTGCCTGGTCTGATGAGTCTCGATTTCTGTTGAGACATTCAGATGTTAGAGTCAGAATTTGGCGTAAACAGAATGAGAACATGGAACCATCATGCCTTGTTACCACTGTGCAGGCTGGTGGTGGTGGTGTAATGGTGTGGGGGATGTTTTCCTGGCACACTTTAGGCCCCTTAGTGCCAATTGGGCATCGTTTAAATGCCACGGCCTACCTGAGCATTGTTTCTGACCATGTCCATCCCTTTATGGCCACCATGTACCCATCCTCTGATGGCTACTTCCACCATGTCACAAAGCTCTAATCATTTCAAATTGGTTTCTTGAACATGACAATGAGTTCACTGTACTAAAATGGCCTCCACAGTCACCAGATCTCAACCCAATAGAGCATCTTTGGGATGTGGTGGAACGGGAGATTCGCATCATGGATGTGCAGCCGACAAATCTGCGGCAACTGTGTGATGCCATCATGTCAATATGGACCAAACTCCCTGAGGAATGCTTCCAGCACCTTGTTGAATCTATGCCACGAAGAATTGAGGCAGTTCTGAAGGCAAAAGGGGGTCCAACCCGTTACTAGCATGGGGTACCTAATAAAGTGGCCGGTGAGTGTATATGTGTGTGTGTGTGTGCATGTGTGTTTGTGTGTGTATGTATATATATATATATGTGTGTGTGTGTGTGTGTGTCATCGCATCATCAGGATGAATGATGAACATTGTGGCTGTTCATGGATAAAATGAGGATTTTTCCCAGACAGCTCATCATCGGGGACCAGAGGTGTAAGAGTGACTCTGAAACAATCGTCCGAGTTCGTAATCGTTTAACGTTACGAGTGTCAGTCCAGATTATATCAGGATCTCATTTACTCTGCGCTGTAATCTAATGTAAACACAATCTAAAATCATAGAGAGACTTGATTATAGATCATTATTTCAGGAAATTGCCTTTTTCCTGTTGCGTAACACACACACACACCTTTGCAACTCTACATTTGATTGACAGCTCCAGTTCTGTCCAATCCCATGATCCTGTCCTGTAATAGTCATGTGACCTCTGCCCTGTCATTAATAGTGTGTGTGTTATCAGTGTTTCCTTCAGTGTGTGTGTTCTCCGTTTATACGCCCTCATTAACACAGGCGTCTCAATGAATCAGTGTTTGCTTTGTCACTTATTTGTCATTGTGTAGAACAAGATAACAGGTCACATGACCCACACAACCGCTTAAAGGCGCAGTTCACCTAAAATGATCATTGTGTCGTCATTTACTCGCCCTAAAGTCACTCAAATCTGTTTGACAAAGTAAATGATTCTTTACCGTCTGAGCCGCAGCTCTTGTGACTGCGTTAGCGGCTAGCGTTAGCGGCTAGCGTTAGCGGAATGGGTAACTGTTCACATCACTGTAACACACACAGGTGGGCGATTGTTGAGTTTATCAGCGCGGCCCCATTAATTAGTGTAATTAGTCTTGGCACGAGTGTGATAGTGTCTGACGGGCTCCGGTTCACACACACACTCACACACACACACCCGGCGGCAGCTTTTTTTCTGCCTGATAACGGCTAATCGACAGCATTAATCACCGGCCCTGAGGCTCCACCGCGCTGTTTACTGTTGAGTTAGTGTGTGTGTGTGTGTGTGAGTGAGTGAGAGAGAGTGTGTGTGTGTGTGAGAGAGAGAGAGAGAGAGAGAGAGAGAGAGAGAGAGAGAGAGAGAGAGAGAGAGAGAGAGAGAGAGAGAGAGAGAGTGAGTGTATAATGTGCTTATACACTTCCATTCAAAAGTTTTGGCTAAGTAAGATTTAAAGAAAAATTTTAAAAAAATTGAAAAAAACTTTCCTTCATCAATGACGCATTAAATTGATCAAAAGTGACAGTAAAGATGTTAATAATGTTGCAAAAGATTCTATTTCAAATAAATGCTGTTCTTTTTAACTTTATATTCATCAAAGAATCCTGAAAAATTAAATGTATCACAATTTTCCTCAAAAATATGAACACTGATAATAATCATAAATGTTTCCTGAGCATCAGATCCTCATATTAGAGTGATTTCTGAAGGATCATGTGACACTGAAGACTGGAGTAATGATGCTGAAAATACAGCTTTGATCACAGGAATAAATTACACTTTACTGTATATTCACATAGAAAACATATATTTTAAATGGTAAAAATATCTCACAATTTTACAGTATTTTTGATCAAACAAATGCATCTTTGCTCTGACGTCACACACACCATCACGCCGCACAGTGCCGGATCAGTTTCAAAGCTGGGATCAGGTTAATCCGGCTGAAGGATCACATGATGGACTTCCTCTCGGGATTGTCCGGGATTGTTTGGGCCACCCTGAAGAAATCTTCAGTCTTTAAAGAGCTTCTCCCGCCCCTTAATTCCCACACTCTGCATCTCTATCCCTCATTATCCTTCTCTATCCTCCACTATCATTCACTCTCTCCCTCTTTCATCCTCGCACTCATCTCTCGTTAGCATACCAAAACTGCCCTTCATTTCCACATGCTTAAAGTGCCATCAATGCTAATTGCGCTCAGGCGTTCTGCAAAGGCCCCTCGCCGGGTCTTGTTTGGCCACTCGGCCGGGGGCCTGTGTTTTGGGATAACTGGGATAACTGGTTCCCCTCCCTCTCTGACCCTTGCCCTTTCGGTTGCCGCGGCGACGGCCCGTTTCGGCTGATGCTGATGGTGTTGTTTGACCGCTGAGGTGTTCGACTCGCTGACTCCACTAAAGCAGCGGGTCGCCGGCCGTGTGATGATCCGCTTTCATGCTCAATCGACCAGAGACACACGCGCGCCTGCTCAAAACACTCTCCAGACTACTGTTAATTGCATTTTGCACAAAGAAAATGTGTTAAAATAAAAGTGTGCATTATTTTCATGACATTTAAACATTTTCTACACAACTATTATTAGCCTGTTGTAATGCACAACCATCATGACGAGGAGAAATGCTGCTTATTTTATTTGCATTTTAAAACTATTGAAAATATACATCATAGTAGTTTTTCTTGATTTTATACTATAGTTTATTATTTTCACAATATCAGTGTTTTTGCAAAAAAAATCTCATTTTAAAGAAAATAATATATTTATGTTGTATTATTTTAATATTATGTTATTTAAAACACATTTAAAACACAATTGAACGTTTTTTGTTTTGCTGAAATTATTTTATACTATAATTTATTATTTGTGAAATATCAGTGTTTTACAACAAAAAACATATTTTTAAGGAAATAATATATATATTATTAATCTAGAAATGTTTCTTCATTATGTCTGAGACATTTGTATGTTTTATCTGTTTTTGTATTGTATGTTGCGGTGAGCCAAAGAAAAATTTCCACCCCGGTGGACAATAAAGATTTATTCTATTCTATTCTATTCTATTCTATAATATTTATAATATTGTTTAAATATTATACTATTTAAAGCATTTTTAAAACACAATTGAAAGTGTTCTTGTTTTGCTGAAATTATTTATACTGTTTGTTGTACTGATTTTATACTATAATTTATTATTTGTGAAATATCAGTGTTTCGCACTGTTTTAGAAAATAATATAATATTTATATATTATATTGTTTAAATATTATAGTAAAGCATGTTTAAAACACCATTGAAAGTATTTGTTTTACTGAAATTATTTTATAGTAAAATGTACTATTTATATTATTTTAAAGTAATCTTTAAAAAAAGAATTTAAAGTAGTTTCTGCAAAAGAATCTCGTAATGAGAAGAAATAAATATTTAAATAATATATTATTAATTTTTAAAGTACATTTTAAAACAATTGAAAATGTACGTCACAGTAGAACTGATTGTACAGTATAATTTATTATTTGTGAAATATCTCAGTATTTTTGCAAACAAATCTCTTATTTTGAAGAAAATATCATATTTATAAATTATATTATTTAAAACAGAATTGAATTGATATTACAGTTGTTTCTCATAATGAGAATAAAATACTATATTTAAATATAGTATTTAAATTATAACATTTAAAGTACATTTAAAACAACTGAAATTTTCTGTTACAGTATTTTTTGCAAAAAGAAATCTCATATTTTGTAGAAAATAATATAACATTTAAATATTAAGCACATTTAAAACACAATGGAAAATTAACATCTCTGTATTTTTGTTGCACTGAATTGTGTTATTTAAAGTACATTTTAAAATACAATTAAAAATGTTCTTTTGCACAAAAAAAACTTCGAAATTTCGAATAGGCTATATTATTCGAAAAATATATTATTTAAATGACATTATTTAAAGAACATTTAAAAACACGATTGAAAGTATACATCACAATAGTTTTTGTTGTGCTGAATTAATGCTGTAATTAATAATTTAAATCATATTATTTGAAGTGCATTTTAAAACGCATGAAAGTACAGTATTTTGATATTGAATTTATTTTATGCTGATTACAAAAAAAAACTAAATGTGGCGTTGCATTTGTAGTCATAGAGGGAAACGTGTTTAATTGTTATATGTAATATGAAGCCGAGATGTTCCACACGTTTCACTGATTCTGATGCAGGAACTCCATCATTAACATCATAACGCTGTGTTCCCGCAGTTACCCGTACAGTGAGGACTCGAGTCAGGGAAAGCAGTACATGAACACTCGATGTCCCTCCTGGTGCGACCGAATCCTCATGTCCTCCTCGGCCAAAGACCTGATCATGAAGGTGAGACCCACGACAGTGTTAAAGCTGCTTTCCTTCCTGCAGATCACCACACAGTTACTGTAAAAGCTCCAGTTCTGTCTTTCATCCTGACAGATTGTTCATTAATCTGATGCAAAAGATGTCATGCATTGGGAAATCATATTTTGCACTATAAAAACTCTAAGTTTCAGAACAAAAACAGCTTTTAATTGTCAGAATGACTAGTTTTCTTGATCTGCGTATGAATCTCTTATTTAAAGCATATTTTAAAACCGTTGAATGCATACATCACAGTAGTTTTTGATGCATTGCATTTATTTTATGCTGATTAAT